TTCCAGTATTTCTACATATAAATAAGAGCAAATGTGAATTTATATGTGAATTTATATATATGTATCTATATAAATATATCTGTATTTCATAGAGGAAGGGAGAGGGAAAGAGAGAAAAACATCAATGATGAGAGAGAATCATTGATTGGCTGTTCCCTGCACATCCCCCACTGGGGATCAAGCCCACAACACAGGCATGTGCCCTTGACTGGAATTGAACCTGGGACCCTTCAGTCCACAGGCTGACGCTCTATTCACTGAGCCAAACCAGCTAGGGCTGATTTATATTTTTTATGCACATGCGCACACACACTTCTTACAAAAAGACACGCCTTGGTATATATCATAGACAACACACTGCGAGCAGATCCTGGGCACCCTCCCCCTTGGAACAGACTGACCTTTACGAATAGAGCACAGGCTCTGCGTGGTGGCTGTGCACAGTGCACTGGGAGCGCGCCGTGGGGTCCATGTCCATAGAGCTGGGTGAGCAGGCCATTCCCTCTGTGCACAGGCTCCTAGGATACATTCCCAGCAATGGGCTCCTCCATCCTCCCTTCTTTTTGGTTCCATCTTTATTGAGATACTAGAGGCCTGGTGCACAAAATTCATGCATGGGTAGGGTCCCTAGGCCTGGCTGGCAATCAAGGCCAATCTGTGGGGCAACCGGCAAGGCGATCAGGGGGGCCCCTCTGCTGCTGCCAGTTGCCTTCCTCTGTGGGGTGACCAGTGGAGCAATCGAGGGGCCCCCGCTGGCACCTGCCTTGGCTGGCCTGGGGCCCGCAGGCTGGGGGCAACTTCTGCGTTGAGCATCTGCTCCCTGGTGGTCAGTGCGCATCATAGCAACAGGTCGATTTGCATATTAGGCTTTTATTATATAGGACTAGAGGCCCGGTGCACAACATTCATGCACTGGGGAGGCGGGCCCTCAGCCCAGGCTGCGCCCTCTCACAGTCCAGGACCACTTGGGGGAGCAGGCCTAAGCTGCCAGTTGGACATCCCCCAAGGGGTCCTTAGCGCTGCCTGGGGGCTGGAGAGGCTCCTGCCACCGCCACTGCGCTCCCTGGGGGATCGGGCCCAAGCTGGCAGTCAGATATCCCTCTGGCAGCCCGGGAGCCCTCGGGGGATGTCCACTTGCCAGCGGGGAGCAGGCCTAAGCTGCAGTC